TTGTATATACATAATGATTTTTCAATAAAATAAACAGATCTTATTGCAAATTTAACTATAGCAAATAATATTTACGAAAATTAGTAATAACGGGGTTTTACTGGGATATTTTTTTGTCCCAGTACCAATTTGAACATCAGCATTTTTTATGGAGGGTATAGGAGTAATCTTTAAGTAATGAATTGGGGCCTAAAAAAATTTATTATTAAATTATATTTCTATAATAATTTTTTCTAAAATACTAATTTGCCCATACTTTATTAAATACAAATAAAAATATACCGATATTATTAGGTCCTAACAGGAGATTTTTTCAGGGGTTTTTTTCCGGGATTCGATAATTTATTATATGAAATTAAAAATAATATTAACATTATAGGGGAAATGTGCTATGAATGGCTATGTTTTTGCCTTTTTGAAAAAAATTATTAAAAGAGGAAAAGATTTGTTTTGACTTTTAAAGAAAACATGATACCTCTGATCAATTGCGAGAAAAATTTTTTTTAAGGAAGAATTATGAAAATCGATTTTGCGAAAAAAGGTTTAGTTAAACCCCCTCCCCCCCTTCCCACATTTATTCTTATATACTTTATATAAATAATGACAAATTCAGTATCGTTTTGTAATATTTTAAGAAAATACATGTTCGCATTTTTTAGGCGTGGAGATTAAGTGTGTGAACCCCGGGTCTTTTCCAAATGCTCGTGATCAGAGCTGGTTTAGTCAATTTTTAGACCTAAACCACGGGTCTGGGGGTTACACAACTAACCAATTAACAAAACTTAATCTTTTTTTTATTTAAATAGTTTTCAAATCAAGAAATTTATTTATACGTGTAGATTTACAAATCAATCTCCTTACTTACAAATTTAAATGGTTATGTAATTAAAAAGTGTGCTCTCCTCCTCGCCTAATAAAATAAACGGGCGTAGGCTAAAAGTCACCTCGTTTTAACAAAAAAGTTCAAAAATAACGATTATGACAATTGCCACTTTTCTGTGGTATCTTCAAACATGTTTACAATATATATATTTACCAGTTTTCTTTTAAAAAATTCAAAAAAGTTCAAAAATAACGATTATGACAATTGTCACTTTCTATGGTATATCTTCACTGAAATTTTATTAGCATATTTACAATATATATTTTTACCTATTTACTTTAAAAAAATTTAAAAATAACGATTATGACAATTGTCACTTTTATATGATATATCTTCACTGAAATTTTAATTTAACATTTTTACAATATATATTTTTACCGATTTACTTTAAAAAAAGTTCAAAAATAACGATTATGACAATTGTCACTTTTCTATGGTATATCTTCACTGAAATTTTATTTTTCAATATATAAATTTTTACCGATTTACTTTAAAAAATTTAAAAATAACGATTATGACAATTGTCACTTTCTATGGTACATCTTCACTGAAATTTTAATTTAACATATTTACAATATATATTTTTACCTATTTACTTTAAAAAAATTCAAAAAAGTTCAAAAATAACGATTATGACAATTGTCACTTTCTATGGGACATCTTCACTGAATTTTAATTTAACATGTTTATAATATATATTTTTACCAATTTGCTTTAAAAAAACTTTAAAAATAACGATTATGACAATTGTCACTTATCTAAGGGAAATCTTCACTGAAATTTTAATTTAATATATTTACAATTTATGTTTTTACCCATTAGCGTCATAAATAAACTAATATGTTTTAAAATACAGATTATGATATTTGTCATTTTTACAAAGGAACATCATCATTGAATTTATAATTTAACATATTTATAATATAAATTATATTTTTACCCTTTTGTATCAAAAATTTCAAAAATGTTAAAAAATATCATGACAATTGTCACATTAAAATATTATAAGACGATCATTTAAAATAACATAAAAATTTAATATAAATATTTGTAAATTATTTAAACTAATTCTTTTAATATACTAAAAAAAATATATAATTTTACAAAAATGATAAAAATAAACCCATAAAAGATTTCAACTAAAAGATTAATAATTCACAAAAAAATTAATTAAAAAAGAAGATTTTAAATTCTTATCAATTCAAATTTTGCTTAAAATTTTTACATGAAAACCACAGTAACAAAAATAATATTATAAACTTATTCGAAATATTCGTCGACTTAAGTTCACGGTTCTCGACTCAAGTCGACTTGAGTTCATCACTCGAGTTAACTGGAGTTCACGATTCGAGTCGACTTGAGTTCACAACTTGAGTTCACGACTTGACTTTACGACTTAAGTTGACTTGAGTTGACTTGAGTTCACGACTTAAGGCGACTTGAGTTTACGACTTAAGTTGACTTGAGTTCACGACTTAAGTCGACTTGAGTTTACGACTTAAGTTGACTTGAGTTCACAACTTAAGTCGACTTGAGTTTTCGACTCGAGTTCACGACTTCAGTGAGTTGACTAACGACTCAGACTCTGAGTCAGAGTCGGGTGAACTCGACTTTTTAACAACACTAGTTATATTATATAGAACCATTATATATAATCGTCATGTTTTTTAGATATAATTAGACTTTTTGGTTACGCCGAAAACGCCATCGTTTAAGAAAATCACTCCGGCGATCGCTCTTGTAATTTTTTAATGTCAATCAGGATTTTGATGAATTTTTATTTTCTACAAAATCATAATTATATTGACGTCATTATAGAATTCAATCAATCAAAAATCTAAAATTCCAAAAGTTACCATAATTTTACATATTTTTAAAATGGATGCATCTACTTTAATAATTCTATAAATATGTGACTCTTTCAAGTAGTGAAAATAACAGCTGTAATAAGATTTATAGTAATTATTGGTTTTTCTAGATTATTTTCACTAATATTTTTGTTTATTCGGGCTTCATATCCTCGAGTTTGATATTAAAAGTTAATAAAGTTTTCGTGAGGGGAGTTATTGCCTTATATCATAATTATAAGATTATGAATCTTTATTGTTTGATAAATTTAAAGTACTATAGTAAGTTTTTTGATAGAAAACTTTAGTTGCTGAGTAACTAGTACCAGTTCTGCTATAACGTGAATTATGCCAGGCCCTAAAGGAAGGGGATGCCAGAAAAATAATTTAATGATATACCCCCTTTTAAAAAGTTTAACTATTTAAAAATTAGATTGCAAATCTTATATTGCTGATAATATTCAGCAGATAGAATAATTTTTAATTCCCTTTCAAAAATTAAAAATACGTTGCAAAAGAATTAGAGAAATTATTACTGCTCTAAGATATAAAACTGCAGAGGTTGAATTTGAATTCGAGGAATATCAAAGAAAATGCCTAAGTACAGTAGATTTAACATCAGACATGTTAGATCTTGACAGCATTGATCCATACCCGGTTACCCGTTTTCAAATTGGCAATTCCAATGATAATAATAACAATAATTCCACGCATATGAAAACCTTAAAATTAAATGTCCCAACATGTTAGCATAGTATATTAATTATGCTAGAAAGCATATCTGGATTAAATAAGAATTTAATTAATAATGTTTTGAAAAGAATTAGGAACAATCTTCTCAAATTATGAATCTGATCTGGTAAAAGAACTATTAGCATTTCTTTCAGTACAAAAAGGACCTACTTTAAATTTGGCTTTACTTTTTAGAAGTGAAATTGAAACACATTTAATAGTAAATGATAGTGATAGTTCTGAAATTATTTCACTTAAGGAAAGTATGCTAAAAAAAACTTGCGTTACGATTTCCGGTTTGTAATCTGCAAGTAATATTATATAAGTATATTCTTTTATTTTTTATTTAAAATTATCTAGGTATTGGCTTCTCTTTTAGATCCAAGATTTTAAAATTGACAATTGTGTCAAAGTATTTAATAGAGCAAAATTGCTCCGCTTCAGAATTTATAATAAAGCATCTTAAACTTATAGAGAATGATGATAATCAGGTAGTAAATATAGCTAATGAGGATGATGATGAATTATTAAATTCAAGTTATTTGACAAAATTGGCAAATAAACATTCAACAAATATAAATTATGATTCCAAGTTAGGTGACTTAGAACAAGAATGCCACAGTTTTCTTGGAAAACGACATTCACAAGATATAGACCTTCTAAATTTTTGGAGAGAAAAGAAGAGTGAACTTTCCAATCTTTCCAGGCTCGCCAAAAAAATTCTTTGCATTTCGGCGACTAGCACACCTAGTGAAAGAGTTTTCTCTACCTCTGGATTGACGTTAAATTCAAGGAGATCATCATTATGTCACAAAAATTTTAATAAAATAATTTTTATACATGATAATTATAAAATTACGAAATCGATTTTGGCTATAATTAAGTTTTCTATTATAAATGAATATTAAAAAATATGCCGAGATATCTGTAGAATGGTGTATATTTATTTTATTTTTTTTAAAAAAATTAATAAACAATTAAAAAAAATTTATGTTATAAAAATTTATAAATGCGTCGATTTACGCCGATTTTATTGACGGCGGCTAAAAATCGGCGCGCCGCTGGCCGTCGATTAGATTTTTTAAAAATTGCGCCAGCCGCCGATATTTCGTCGGCCCACAGGTTTAGATATAATATATAAATATGAGTTTAAATATTATATTTTTTCTATAACTTATTTAATCTCAAATATTGTAGGAGGAATTATTCACAAATTATAAAGATAAAATCTTTCATTCAACAAATTTTAATATATAAAAATTTATAAAGATCATTAATGTAATTTAACGATAAAAACTTTCTCCTTAAAAAAAATTATTTTATAAATGCAACTAAATACTTTTTGCCCATTCTTGAGGGTTACTACCTGCTTAACTCTTTGTTGGAAATGATCTTAATTTGATGTCACTTAAGAATATTGATATTTAAATTTTTTAGGGCCAGATATTGTTGTAATATAATAAACAATATATCTATAGTTACGTCTAATTCGTTTAAAAGGTTAATTTACTTTAATTATTACAATTATATTTTAACAGAACAACTACCGATTATAGTAATAGGATCAGTGCAATTGATAACTTGACTTCCAGATTTAAAAGCCTAGAAGATTCCTTCAAAACTAATTTATTAGATTCAAATAATAAAGATTGCCAAAAGTTTTCACCCCTGCAATCGATTGACAAGAGAAAGTGATATATTATATTGTATTTTAAATTAAATAATTGATATATATTAAATAAAGTAATTAATATTATTATGCTTCTAATTTAATCAATAGTTTAATTTAATAAACAAGTAAACCTATATATTCAGTATAATCGGAAAATTGTCCCTTAACATTTTCATATTATTTTGCTTATTAACGATTACAAAATTAAATGACACTAGTGTCCATCCTTTTAATAAAAACGGACAAGCCATTTTAAATTTATCCTTTCCAAATATTTACCGAAAAGTTACTAAATTAGGCAGAAGTGTTATGCCACATATAATGCCATTAGAGACCCTCGGCCGGGCGATTCGTACATAAAAATTTTTAGGGCCGGCCGGACAATTTATGCATAAAAAAAGGCAGGGCCTTGCACATTCCCCGAATTCTCGAAAATTTTAATAGACCATCCCGGACATCAAAATTTTGAGAATTTTTTTTTAAAATTTCAAGTTATATTTTGATTAATCTATTTGGAAATAAATTACAGTATGCTTATTTCTTTGTATTTTAAGAACCGCCTAATTAAAAATATATAAATCAGGCGAGTAACCGGGGGGGGGAATCTTCCTTCGCAAATTTGACTGTTTTCATAAATATCATTTTAAGCTAATAAACCCCCCCCCCCCCCAATAAAAATTTTGCAAAATTTGAAAATCCATTTTCCAACATAAAACTTATTTTTTAAATAAATTTTATTAAAATTTTCTTTCCTTGTGATTAACATTATTCAAAAATATTAATAAAATGAAAAAATTTTTAATTTTAAAGATATAAAAATTAACCGGTAATTTATTTTATCATTATGATTATTTTATCAAATTCAAAATTATTAGTGTAGGAATTAATAAACATTTTAATCCCCCCCCCCACCCCATTGTAAAATCCTGGATACGACACTGATATAAATAATATAATAAATTCACGAAAAACAAAAAAAGTTATTTATAATTCCAATTATAAAATACATAATGCAGATATCAAACATAATTGATTTATAAAATGATTAAGTAATAGATAGCCATAGAGGAGAGATATAAGAAGTGATATGAACCCGAACACTCGTGTTTTTGATAAAACCCGAACTCTTCCTAAATGTTAATAGTTCAAGGATATCAAAGAAAATTAAAAATTTCTTAAAAAATAATAAATTTTATAAAAAAAATTCATGAAAAATAAATATAAGAAGATCGTGGTCTTCGCTTTCAAAATTTTCAATTTTCCTCCATTTTATAGGTAATATTATAAATTATAATTTAATATGCTATAAATAATATAATAAGAATACGTTGCTTATCTTTAATATCAATTTTAAAAGTAAAGTGCTAAAACTAAACTGCAATCAAAAAAGTAAAATAAATATTTCTTGATCATTTTAGTAATTAAAATACGAGCATTTATATAAATATGAATATATAGTTTGTCAATAATTAATTTAGGTTAGCGTAAATGTGCCTTTTCTTCTTTGAAATACATATATCAAATTGCTTGGAAATCTTAGAGAGGATATTTTGGAACATTATGAATATGATTGTTCGATTTAATAAAACATTAAAATTAAAATATAAATTAATTTTTAAATTTTTTGCTACTAATCAACCTTGAACCCGAAACCCTTTTATCTCTGAACTTTTTTTTGTTGAATGGTTTACATTCCTGGATAAAAAATGTGATGGCCGAAAAATTTTTACAAAAATTTAACGAGGCGAGGGAGACTTTTCTTGAAATTTTAGGACTGGGCCTCACTTTTCATAAAATTTTAACTGGCCGGGTAAATTAAGAAAAAATTATTTTGGGCCGGGCAACGTGTGATTTTTTTAACTAGCTAGACATTGCAGATCTCTAAATGCTATCATAGAAATCAGTTAAAATAACTTTGAAAAATTCTTAATACAAGCATCATCCAACAATTTTTATCATTAGTAAAATTTATTGATCAATGATAATTAAAATTAAAATATTCTTTATATTTAAGGTGATCGAAAATATTGTGAATCAGAAAATTCTATTTGTTTTCTCCTATCAGATAATGTTCCTCTTACCGAAGAGATAAATATATATTTTAAAATAGACCAGTATACTCACATGAGCCCCTGAAGTAAGATACTCTTCTGCTTCCCCCTCCCCGACCAAAAAAAGCCATTTGTAAAATTTGCTTATCCTAGTGTTGTTAAACGGCATATAATCGATTTTTAAATATGGTTAAATCAAAAATTTGGCTAAAATTTTATTATATAAGCCTCGAAATTTTATCAAATAGATATCAAACCTTTCTATCATCTGTGGGCAAAATATCTAAGACTCAGGTATATAGATGTAAAATTCCCGGGAAAATTGGTTCAGGGGAAATTTCCCAAAGGGAAATAACGGAAAATTAAAAAATAACCACAAAATATACTTTAAACCTTTCAATTTTTTTTATGGAATAACTTTATTAAATTTGGGGAACTAAGGGAAAATAATATAATTAAACAATAAAGACAAAAATAAATACACTATAAACATCATTTTTTGAATAACTTTATTAATTACAAAAAGCATGTATCAGAAATTACATTTAAAATTCTTGGGATGCTAATGAAATAGCATCAATATCTTCATGGGATGAAATTGAAATATCATCATTATCACTTGATATTGATAAATCGGAATCTGAACTCTTTTGATGATATCCCGAACTTGATGTATTTGTATGATCCTTTAAATGTATGTTATGCCTTATTGATATTAATTTTTCTACTCTTTCATTCTTTATTCTATTTCTCGTTTTTGAATGAATTTTTCCAAATGCTGACCAGACTCTTTCTGACGAGGCACTTGAGGGTGGTATCGAAAGACATCTTACTGCCACTTGACAAAGGGGTTGATTTACACAACCCTTTCCACCATATGAGTGGTTTGGTATGGATTGAGCTCTCCCATATGCCAGCTCCTTTATAGAAACCTTGTTTTGAACGATATTCTGCTAAATTACCCATAATTTTTCCAATATCGCAATTAATTTGGCCTGAAATAATATTTATTATAGTTAAAGCTGCTGTTAATTCACGGTCTGTTAATTTCACACCATAATATCGAGGATCCAGAAGATTTTTGCAATGATATTCTCGGCAACAAAATTTCTTTCGTTTTTTAATATGCATTTTAACACTTTTCAAATCATTTTCATTAAAAATAAAAGTTGATGAATTGAGTTTATCTTTTATATCCCAAAATATTTCTGGAACGTCAGATAATACCGCTGAATCCGATTCTACAAATATAATTTTCTTAAAAATAAATTCCAAAAAGGTCAGTAGAGACTCTAATTTATCCCAGTATCCTTCTTTGTCTAATATAATAAGCCTTCTTTGTTTGTTTGTAAATAAACTAGAAATTGCAATTTCTTGCAAAACTTCCTTATTTTTCACAACACTTTGCAACATTATAACAAAACCTCCCCATCTTGTCGGACTTGGAATTTTTAAGGAAGATTTATATCCTTTCAATATTTGTTTTTCTTTAAAAGTTGCAAATAAAATACCATGTAATTTTATATATTTAATTATTTGCTTGGTTTTTTTGATGATCTTTTCATTAAAAGGTATTTGGCATAAATCTTTAATAAGCAGATTCAACCCATGTGCGGCACATCCAAAGAATTCAATATAATTATATTTTGCCTTAACAAGACTCCAGGCCTTTTTCATATTCTTTGCATTATCAGTTACTAGTGAGATAAATTTTTGACAACCAATTTCTTCTATTACCTTGATCAACTCAGATGCGATATATTCACCAGTGTGAGCACTGGAACCTGTGTCAATGGATTTAAAAAAAATTGGTTCTGGAGTCATTATTATAAAATTAATAATGGACTCTCCGCGAATATTTGTCCAACCATCGCTTATGAGAGTAAAATCTTTTAAATTATTGAATTTATTGTTAATAATATTTTTCACTTTAATGTATTCAAAATCTAGTAATGTTTTACTAATTGCATGTCTAGAAAGAATTTTGGCTGGACGCATTAATTTAAAAAAATGGATGAAATATTTATTTTCAACTAAATTAAAAGGGCAATTTGACATAAAAATAGCCAATGCCAAAGCACTGTCAAGTTGCGTTTGATTTTGTTCGGTTATAGTGTCGAAAAAATTTTTAATTTTAGATTTGCCAGCATTAAAATTATTGGTATTTTCTTTAAAAGTATTTAGAATGGTTTTATATATGTTTTTTTGGGATATAATTTTATTAGGATTACTGGAATCTGGTAAACATACTACAACATCCTCTTCAGTAGAATTATTATTATCACGATCAACTTCATTAAATTGTAAACTGTTAATATACACTTGACATTTTTTGATATGCTGAGACATCTTTGTTAAATTTGGGAAATTATATGTTAATTGACAATATTTGCATATTGATATATATCCTATCTTGTTATTAGCTCTATCTTTAATAAAATGTTTCCAGATATTGGAAGATTTCCGAGGCATCTATAAAATATTGCAATCATATTAATTTAAATTAAACATCAATAAATCATTATACCAGTTATATAGTATGATTAAAATATATTAAACATCATAAATCATTATATCAGTTATATAGTATGATTAACATATAATGATACTTATAGTGCGCACAAATTGAGCGTTGCAACTCTCCGTTTTAAAAGCTAATATGGTAGAGTGCAGCTTGGATTTTTTTACGGCAAACGTTAATAAAAAAGCAAACTGGTTAGATTTTTTTAAAAATGTATACAAATTGTAGGTATAATTTATTTCATATATTAATTGATATTATATTATTTAGAATATATTAATTGATATTTATATAATTTTAGAAATGATTATTTATATAATTTTGGAATTTATATTTATATAATTTTAGGATATACATATTATAATTTTAGAAGGGATGATAAGGTTACTAAAAAATTTTGTACCTTACTGGAAACTCAACAAATGGTCTGGAGCCAGCAGCGTCCAGACCATAAGAATTCTATATTAGTATTAGATGGTTTATTAACCAGTAGTTTAAGGTAAATATATATAAATAATGATAAATTATATTTTTAATAGGTTGGGGATGGAATTTCCATTGCATGATACAACTGATGCATAAAGAAGAAGTTGCAAAACTTTAAAGACCAAGATAATTGTGCAAGGTTTCAGGAGCTTCTGGCTCTAAACTCTCATACAGATGGTATGATTACATTAAATTCATGGAGCCAACAATAGAGGATAGTTTTAGTCCTAAAGAAATTATACCAAAGGAAGGCAAGTGGGTTAAAATTAAATGCATTGTTGGATATATTGACTCTTTTGGAAAGGGTGCCTTGAGAGCCAGTAAAATATATATTTATCTATAAATTTAACATTATTATAGAATGTTTCTCTATAAAATATAAATCAAACAAATATTTTTTCAAAAATGAAGTATCTCCATTGTATTATACTTTAATGGAAAATTGAATTGTGGCCTCCAAATTCAATAGATATATCTGCAAATCAAACCTCATTATTTAATGAAATTATATCTATTAAAATTGATTTGTTTTTTTTTGTAATTCTATTTATTTATAATAAAGTTATATTATTCCATATTCTAAGTCCATTTTTGAAAAATATAATTAAAATTATTTTATTAAATAAGACATTTAATACTCTTATTATGGTGTACATTTTCATAATTAAAGATTGAAAAATGTAATTAAAATTATTTTGTAAAATATATATAAATAAGCAACTATTCAAAATTTATTTAGCAATTATTAGATAGATTTAATCAAATTATATCATAAATTTGAAATTTGATTAGCAATATTTCTAAATGTATTTATTTTTATATCTAGTGTCTTGAAAAAAATATAAAATATATAAATATGCAAACTATTCAAAATTTATTTCACATTTTTATTAAAATATATAAATTAAGGTAGGATAAACAAAGAAACATTTATATACATATGTTTTGCATCCAAGGCCACAAAAACATTTGAAAACCCTGATTGAATCATAAATTCTTTGGAAATCTAAATAAACAAATATAATTAAACTTCCTTATTTTACCTTAAGGTAAGAAATAAACTCTTTTTTGTTTAAGAAATTATAAAAAAAACTTTAATAAAAAACATACTGCTTTCTATCTAAACAAAGATGCGTTACATTAACAAACATACTGCAAACGCTCAATTTGTGCGCACTATTATATATCAAATCTAAATATATCATTAATTATTAATAATTCTATAATATATCACATTAATATTATGTATGAGAATATAATGTGAAACATTTTACCTTTATTTTTGTACTTTTAAAATTATAGATTTGAAAAATTGCACTCAATGATTGCACTAATAAAAAAAATAAGTTTAAAGACTCACGAGGAAAATAAAAATTATTTATAAATTAAATTATAAATCATAATTATTGAAAAATAAAATATTATATTTTATAAAATATAAATCATAATTTTTGCAAATAAATAATATATTTATATTAAGGGAAAATTCGGGAAATTTCCCGGGGAAATATGAATGTTCCCGGGTAATATTCCCGGGAAATTTCCCTACCTTTACATCTCTACTCAGGTATATATAACGAAAATCTTGACTTAACCGTTTATAGAAATCCGCGAAATCGAGCCATTTAGCAACAGTAGTTTATCTAACCCCTCCTTTTATATACATACTTAAAAATATATAAAGAAGTCGCCTTTATTACACAAAAATAAAAGAAATTATTTATAAAAAAAATATGAATTTTTTTGTCTAATATGATAAAATGTGTAATTTTATTTAAAATTGATATATATTTAAAATGATATAAATTTTAAAAAATAATATAAAATTTCAAAAAAGAATGAAAAGGCTAAGTGAAGTAATGGAAAGAGAAGAAATTAAATGATTTTCTTTAACAAATAATGAAATTAATAATTTCAATACATTAGGGGAAGAAAGTGCAGTGTTTATAATATAATATCTAATTTTCTATTTTTCCCATTGACGAAATTATTAATTTTAAAAAAAATCTCTAATAACGTTTCGTTGTCTAGATTTATTTTTTTTGCTTAAAAAAAATCCCTTTTCCCATGAAGGGTTTAAAGATCTTTAGTTATAAAAACTGGCCAAAGAAAAGTGCCAAAACGTTAATTCGTAAATTCCTCTCAAAAAATTGAAATCTGCTAGCGGTTCAAAGAGCTCTTAAACACAAGAAATAATGGACATTATTCCCAAGAATTCATACAAAACTATTTCCAGGTAGGACTAAATAAAATATAATCATGGAATCATTTTTTTATTTCCATCTACTCATCCATTAACCAATGAATCGCATAGAAAAATAATAAGACATATAGGAATATCTCGTAGTATTGTTCGAAGAATTTTAAAATAAAAAAACTGATCAATTGGCATAAAGATTGCTACCGCCATTCACAATGAAGGTCGTCTTGTTCAGCATAAATTCTAGTGAAAATTGTGTGATTTTCAAAAAAAAAATTTTTTATACAAATTTTTGCTGTTATTTAATTCAATAATAATTTCCTAAATGACAGTTATATCTTTTTATAATATCTCTAAATTTTAGATAAATTGATAGAAACTAAGCTCGCAGTATATGGAAGTTGTAATATAATTTCCCCATATATTTTCTTATTGTACCTTCAGGAAATTTTTGTTAGGAAGAGCAAATTTCTTGGAGCCACCGGCAGTCTATTATTTTATTTTATTGCTTATTAAAGGTCTAGACCTGCGCTTTGACCACCACAAAAGGCGGGATCTGGATCTCACTTATCTTTATACCTTTTTCAAATTAGTTATTCCAAAATAATAATGTTTTAAATAGAAAGTAGCTATTGATCTTTCTTTCAAAATTAAAAAAATATCAAAAAATGTTTGTCTTGAATTTGGAATAATTTTAGGAGTGAAATATAAAACCATTTAATTGTAATTGGGGTTCTTTTTTATTAGACCCTCGATTTCAAAAATGAAACATTATTATATCAAAATGTGATAGAACCAAATTACATGACGACTGAAAATATTGTATATAATATTAATATTAGAGCTATGATATCAAATACAAGATCTAAGTGAGCAAATAAACATTCCACAACAAAAACAAATTCTTTCACTTTGAATGATTTGGAAAAATGCCATTTACGGAAACGTCATCAGCCAGATATAAAAAAATTATTTGGGCTCCATCAACTAATCCACCTAGTGGTAGGGTTGTTTCTATTGCTGGACTGACGTTGAATTCAATTCACTGTAATCAACCTTAGGAGAATAATATTTTTATTAATTAAAATTCATAAAAATATAAAATATGCCAGTTTATCTGTATAAGTGAACATTTGATTTTTAAATAATAATTTTATCACCATTTCATAAAAAATTTAATTAGAAATTTATATTATAAAAAATTATGTCAATATGTCCATTCAAAACAACTCCCGGCCACTATAATTTCATCAGCGAACAGGTCTATGAATATTATATTACTAATTTATACAATTTCAAATATTTATATAAAAAGTGATTTATTAAGCTTCCATAAGCAACATTTCCCAAAATCAAATGAGCCAGCAAATGATTTTACCTTTTTAGAAGATTGGGATATAAATGAAGATGATGAAGAATACATTGACATAATTGATAGTGATCGCAAAAGGCTAATCAATAAAGGCAAATTACATGCAGGTCTTTTTACCATAATTAATATTCTTTTCTGGTTATTTATTATTTATTTATTTGATATGCTAGGACAGATCCGTGGACTCCACGGATTAAATGTCCTGAAAACAAAATACCCACGGAGATAATATTTTAGAATGTCCCATAAAAGTATAATATTAAAAAATTAATAAGGATTAAATAGCCTTTGCTTGTGCGAAGAAAACGAATTATTCCCCTTTGATTCAATTCTTATTTTACGAATACGAACTTCTATCTTTATTATTAGATCAAAATATTCACAACTATTTGTATTATCATAATTTGTATTTATTCATAAATATAGAAATTATTCGTAAATATTTATAATTCATAAACATTTCTTGTAAAACTTTATTTTTCTAGTTTATATTCTATTCATTTTTTGATCGATACCAAAGAATCGATGAATCTCTAATTTTAATAATCCTTAAGTGTCATTTTTATTTTTTTTCGGTTTTTTAAATTTTCTTCCTTAATTTTCTTTTAACTTTTCCTTTTTTGACCAGAAAGTGTCTTTTTAATCAGACTTATTCTTTCTTTGAATGGGAAATTTGTAAAACGGAAATATTGTAAATTTTTTCCTTTTTCCAGCCTGACCGGGCTGGCTTAAAAATATTTAATTTTCGGCCTGTCGGTCAGACATGTTTTTTAAAATTTGGTCATAAGATTCTAAAATAGAAATTTTTTTTATTATTAACAAAGTGTAATATTGACTCTAAGTTTATTTATATTATTAAATTCGATATATGGTTTTACCTTATTTTATTATTTTGGAATTACCATCTTTGTTATATCACTTTGCTTTACAAATTTTCTTAAGTCCAATACATTTTATTTTCATATAATATATTTCATAATTTATCAATCTCGTTATCAAAATAATAATTAATGAATGGCGATGTTTCACAATTGTTAATTATATCCATTAATGACCATTCATTAATATTTAATAACTCTTCATTAATTCGGATTACAAATTTTATAATGATTGTGAATATGTAAAAAAATTACCAACTTTTTCTTAGTTGCCACCTTATTTATTTCTTTTACATAATTAAATAAAAAACATGGTCAACGACAGGTTCTATTATTTATTTATAAATATATATCAGACCTGCAGGCCCGGCCCTAAACCCGGCCCGGCCCGGACCGGGCCGGGCCGTATTTTAAATTTTTTAAATATACCCGGGCCGGGCCTAAAAATTTTTTTAAACATATCCGGGCCGGGCCTAAGATTGTTAAACCCGGGCCGGGCTGGGCCTTAATATTTTTTATAAAATTTTTTACATTATGAGTTAATGGTTATAAGATTATATTATATTATAGTTATGATTAATATAATATTGGGTGATGGTTAACACTACCTAACACCCACAGATCGATCTAATTATTAATTTCCTGCAAATTTATTCAAAGTATTAATATATTTTTTTATAATTCATATCTAAATTTTTACAACATATTTTACCAAAACAATCAAATAAAGGAATATCTTAAATAAGCCCCAATATTCAAGTATTATTAATATATTTTTTTATAATTCATATCTAAATTTTTAGAATATATTTTACCAAAACAATTAAATAAAGGAATATCACTTCTTGAAGTTTGTAATACCTTTCAAAGCGAAAAGGGAGAAATAAAATTGATTTTACTTAATATAAAGCATTTTTTAATTGAAAAATTTGTTTTACACAAGTATCATTTTATTTCTCTTTTTCTCTGTCACAAATTCAAGCAATTACGTATATAGTCAGGGACAGATCGCAAGATGATGGAAAACTATATAAAAGATTATATTAAATTACAAGAGGCTCAGGAAGTAAATGAAATACCATCGACCAGTCAAATTACGACTGTTGTTAAACAAACTGAATCGTTTTATGACAAATGGGGCGATGGTAATTCTGGTAATATGTTACCCGATGATGAATATTATAATTACATAAATAAAAAAATAGATGAAACATTTAAGATGGATAATTTGTTAGAGTGGTGGGCGGCTCATCAAAGCGAATTTCCAATTTTAGCAAAATTGGCAATTCCTGCTTCAAGTGCAAGCTGTGAGCGGAATTTTTCCACTACTTGAATTCTTGAAGAAAGAAGAAGTAATCTTCAACCTGAAAAGGTAGATATGCTTCTCTTTCTTCATGATAATTTGTGAATTTTTAATATCTTTCTTGAGTATGGGGTTTCGTCAATCATGCTGGTTTTTTACTTTGCAAACTGTCAAATATTTATTGCATTTATTATATTTACCTTGAGTCATGAAAGTTTTTAATCCAACATTTTTCATTATTTTTTTTTACAATATTATATAATACAATTATCTTCTTTTGTTTAAAATTTATATTATAAAATAAATTATATTAATATTGTGCAATTAGATTATATTTTCAAAATACTATTTATTATACATGCATTTTTTTAAATAGCGATTTATTTTTATTTTATAAATTAAATAGTAAATTAAATACAATATATTATATTCTCAAAATATTTCCCATTTTTAAAAATTAAATATTAGTTTTATTTTTTTTAAATGCAATAAAAAATATAGTATATGCTCAAAATATTATTACCATTTATATGAATATTAGTTTTATTTTTATAAATGCAATATAAAATATAGTATATGCTCAAAATATCCATTTTTATAAATAACAGTTTTATAATTTTTATAAATTCAATATAATATTCTCAAAATATTAGCTTTTTACATGTATTTTTTAAATAATAAGCGATAATACTCGCTGAAAAATATGGTAAAATACCTCATAGATGAATTTTTGTATATACCAGGTCGAATATAATTTTAAAAAATTCCGATTCAATTTTTAAATCCGGGCCAGGCCGTAAAAATTTTTTTTAAAAAATATCTGGGCCGGGTTTTAAATTTTTAAATCTGAGCCTGGTCGGGCCGTAAAAAATTTTTTTAAAAAATATCCGGGCCGGGCCTAAAAAATTTAAAACCGGGCCGGGCCGTGCAAATGGTACCTCTGCAGGTCTCTGATATATATATTTGTTATTTAATCAATTAAATATAACATGCCCACCTTAAACAGGTCCAGCCTCTTTAAATTTGCAAAAAATGTCCCATAATTATGGAACAGAGTGTATAATACTTTATATTTAACAACAATTAATATGTTAATAATGTATCATTAGATGTCATCTCTTTTGTTGTTTCCTGGCTTACTGTTGAACAATCATTTTCGTTCGATCATTAGCTTGATTGACATCATTGTATATACACCACGGCTTGATTGACCATCATCAAGTCCAGGCAGTGGGTTGTTAAGTTTATGATTCGCACGGTTTTATTATTATTATTGTTGTTCTTTTTTTAAAGGAACGGTCCGATTCATGCTTTCAATATATCGTCGGTCTAGAATTGGAGTGCTCTACTCGACATCTTCAAATTTTTTTTGGTTAGAAGTGGATAATAACTTATTTATTTCCAATATTTATATAAATAAAAACTAGATTAAAAAATATTTATTTTTGCCAAAGTTATAGCACTGTCAATTTTGCGCTATTTGCATATAACGATGTAATTTTTGCATCATATGCATGGCCTATCCTATTATCTTATTTAATCACGTGTTGTATTTCCTTCCTTTTTTTAATTTTATCGTAAAATATTTTTATTCCATATCTATCCTAAATTATTTTAATGTCAAGGTAAATATTTTATTATTTTAAAGTAATCTTAATATAGTTTTCATGTTTAATTTTTAAATAAAGTTACATAAATTGGAGCTAGATTAAAAAATATAATGAAATTTATCACAATTTTTTCCTCTCGCAGTTATTTTCTTTAATGTTTTTGCCCTTTTGGGCGAAACATTAGAAATATAACCGGACATTTCGGCCTTTATGGCTTCCATGTCCCAAGGCCTTTATTATCAATCAAAAATTTTTCGATATAAATTTAATAGAAAATAACAATGAAGTAATATCGTAATAATAATAGGTATTTATGTAAATAAATATTGAAAGGATGAATCGTTCTAGATATTAGTTATTTTCGGATAAATTTTTGATTGGTTGTAGGCTAAGTTATGCCAAGTCGTGGGGTTCAATAGACAGTTCGTCCCATTGGTAAGAAACCGTTGATTGGCTATTGGCTGGTATCGAGATATTAACGAAGGGGTATCCGGTGCTGATTGCTCTCCGAATAAAGATTCTTCGTCTTGTTGTAGAATTATCGCTGCTTCTAGAACCGGCCCCTCGAAGAGGTCCAGTTGTTCTCTGGCGGCCATCCAGGTCCTAGAAGGAAGGTCTGCCGGATTGTCCTCAGGAGGAATCCATTGGATGTTTTGGGACACAGCAGTGAAGTTGGCTAGTCCTAGTTTAAACAGGGTTTGGATTAGCACAATTTCTAAGGATGGAGATCTTGATCCACCTTTTTTGTATGTGTAGTAGGCTACTGATGAATCAGTGAAGATCATCGGATGTTCGTTGTTTCTATGTATGGCCATGATTGCCCCGATGCCGACTGCTAGAATTTCTTTGACATTTATGTGCTGGATGGCATGTGTCGGGACATTGAATAACAGACAAGCCTCGCTGTATGCTACTGATAGGTTATCGACTTCCCAAAAGTTTATACAAATATGTGAGTTTGAGGCGTCCACGTATACTGGGGAGTTGGCATAATAATGTAGCGACAGGGGGGAGGCTAGTGCATTGGCTTTTTTAAAGGCTAGGTAAGTGTCGACTATAGCAGCTAAGTGTCCCTCGTTCATAGTTATGTAATAGGGTGAGAACAAGCGGGACATGCCAGTGATGGTGTATGCATAATGGTTTACCACTCCTAGTACCCTAGCTGCTAATTCTTGTCCTACCTGGAGATGTTGGTATGAGTGCTGTCTGAATACATCTAAGCATTTCTTGAGCCTCCGTCTCGTGTTCGTGTCTGCTGAGACCGTTTTCTCTGTGAGATTGATAGGAACACCGAGGTAAGTTATGGTCGGGGTAGG